GGAAATAGCCAGAAAAACAAGCAGTCTTGGGGACCAACACGAGCTTCCCTCAATACTGACTTCCCTTGGTAAATCACACCCAAGGGAAGAGCCCCGAGGAACACATTGCTGCCCTTCGGCTCGCAACTCAGAGCACGTGTCCGGGTCTATCTGTACCGTATTAATAAGGATCTTTCTTTATTTGTCAGGGATAGGCCAAGCTGCCATGCAGGCCTGCACACATCGTGCCCCTAAGGAGCTGAGCTCTGTACAAGATGGGAATACCCCTGATTTACCGTTTGCTGATTCTCCAGGAGACCTCGAGCTCTCCTGCCTGACTTTGGGCCTCACGACAACAAGCTCCTCGTTTCTGACCGGCTCCACCACGAGGACCGAGGCATCTTTGACTCCATTCGCCACCGTCCTGCTGCTGCCTGGCAGACCTGCTTCCTCCTCTCGGTCCGACTCGGAGAAAATACCTGAAGAGAAAAATTAGTGGGAGGACAGAGCCATCCGTGTCCTTCAGGACTGCTTCGTGTGTGACCGACCCTTCGATTCTGGCAGTGTCATTCTCCTGCTCTGTGTAACAGCCCATCTGTTAGGGTGGAGGGCAAAGCAGACATTTCGTCCTGGGTATGTCCAGGAAGGTATCTACCACAGCCCTCAGAGAAGCTGTGCCAGCAGCTTAGTCTATGGAGGAGAGCAGAGGATAAAGCGGTGCTGAACCCCAACACCTCTGGCTGGCTTTGTCCAAGTCAGGGGAAGGAAAGTGCAGACTGGTCTGTCAGTCTGCAGGAAGGGGATCACGGGCAGGGATGGCTCCAAGGATGCTGCTGAACTAGGCAAGGAGCTTTTCCTAAAACAAGATCAATTTTCCCCTTCCCTGCAAGCAGTTCCTTTTACTTTGACATCCCGCTTGGTGGACAGAGCTGACATCCAAACATGGTGGTGAAGACAACAACGGAAGAGGAACTGTCTGCCGAGGTGTCTCAGAAGCATCCTTTAGCTTCTCAGAGCTCCCTTCTGTGAAAAGAAAAGGGTTTGCGTAACTTCCCTCGTCCCTTAGATCCTCTCATCCTCCTGACTTGATGAATGGCGATACCTCCAAGGTCATTTCTCCAGCTTCCTCCTACACAGGAGAAGCCACTTCTCCTCTGTCCTTCAAGAAAGGGGACGACAGCGAGAGGGACAGTGAGGGCAGGGAAAAAGAAGACAGAAGAGATGGAGGCAGGGAAAGACAGAAGGCAAAAGCTGAAAGATCTACCAAGAAACCCAGAGCTGCTCTGCTCAGAACATCCCCTCCTTGGCAGACTCCCACTGAGAGGTGCTAGTTAATTGAAGGCTGTCCCTTGGGGTTAATTAGCTGGTTAGCCCCCTGCTATCTGACCCACTGGGGGAAGGAAGCAAAAACCCCCAACCCCTACCCTCTGCCATGAAGAGCAGCTGTGGAAGAGCTGCCAACCTGCCGGGCAGCACAACTCAGGGGAGGAGGCAAACTCACCTGCTCCCGGCTGCAGAGCGGACTCGGAGGAACGAGCCCTGGAAAGGCAAGGAGACCGGCGTTACACCGAGCGGGGATGGGGCAGGGGAGGTGACGGGAAGGAGGGGAAGGCACTGCCCAGCACCGTGCACTTACCCGGCGAGGGGTGAACTCCCCGCAGAGCCAGGCAGAGCCAGGAAATCCCAGAGGAAGATGGCATCTCCCACGCTGATGACGTGCCGTTGGTCTGGGGTAAAGGCCACCTGGCGCACTGGCTCCGAGTGGCCAATGTACACCTAGGAGTGAGCACGCCTTGAACTACTCCATCACCACGCCTGCCCTATCAGGATGGTGGTTACTGCACTCCCTGCCCTCCACAGCCAGTGTCTACGCTCCTCAGCGGAAGATCCCTTCAGAGGCCAGCACCACACCCTACAGTGCTCAGACCTAGGGTTGATCAACCTGGGGCTGAGCCTCAGCACACTGATCTGGAGAAACGAGCAGAAGCTGAAAACCCCCAAGGTCTTATCCTAGCTCTCAATACCTCTGAAACCCTGTCCCTAGCACAGAGGTAACACCCACCTCTGTCCTGCGCAGAGGGTCTCACTAGGCGCGGTGCTTTGGCAGCCCTAGCCCGTGCTCAGTGCAGGGCATTATTACAACGTGGGAATAGGGCTGCGTTTCTCAGCTGCTGGGCGAACTGGGACCGGGGACACTGGGCCAAGTCACACAGAGGGCATTTGTTGCTCTGTTCTCCAGGGATTCCGAAATGCTTGATCAGGGCAACACCAACCCCCTTCCCTCCCTCTGTGGGCAGTACCTGGAAGTTGATATCGAAGCGCATCTGATAGTCCCACACTTTGATAACTTTGCCGCCAGCGGTGAGCAGGTACCTGCCATCCTTGCTCAGCGCCAAGGAAGAACAGGACAGCTTGTGAACGGGAGACACCTGAGGACAAGAAACGGCACCAGCAGCATTAGCTGAGCTAGTTCCTGTCCTTACTTATGCTTCAGCAAGAGAACAGGAGTGTGACAGCACGGATAACAAGGACAAGCTCAGGCTCACCCTGAGCACGACCACACGAGGGTAGCTACACGCTTGCCACTCGTGTTTCTTTGAAGCCTGTGAACTCCAGGATGAGCTCTTCTCTCATTTAGCCTCCTACAGTGACATGAAGTGCCCAAGCCCCACATGACACGAGACCTCAGTGCATGAATTTCATAGTGTCCTACCTCTCGCACCAGTCGTCCCGTTTTTGCATCAAGCACGAGGATTTTATTGGAAGAAGTGGACACCAGGAGCTCGCCTCGAGGCACTGGAGCAAAGCAGACTCTGGCTGCAGAGTCCAAGGCCGTGCTGTTCAAATCGAGGATGCTGATGTCCACCCTCAGCAGCTGTGAAACAAGGAGCTGATGAACAAACGTCCTGGAGCAAATACTGCAGAAGCCTCAGGAGCCTCCCGTGGCTCTCCTAACATGAGGCTGTGGAGCCCTCCAGACCCTTCCCTTCCCACCTAATGAGGGGCTGCAGGCTCCAGGCAATGTCCCTACTGCCCAGGAGAGCAGCTCACAAAGAGGAGTCGGAGCTGACAGTCTACACAAGACTTCTCCAAATTATCTTTCTAGAGGGGAATGAAGCCAGAGAAGAAGCAACCTTGACTTTGTTGTTTCTATCTCACAGAATGGAAAAGAAACCTCATTGTAAGCACCCTGAAACAAGCATCTGCTGTGCAGGGGAGGGCCCTCTCCAACATTGCTGGTGCCCAAGGCCCTTGATCTATCTCATCTGATGCAGCCTACGGGAACTTCCCCCTGTGGCACGTGCTCCCCTCCCCACCCTCCCCCAGGAACAAGAGGAGCCTGCTGGGTACCTCATCTAGAGAGCAGGCCTCCATCACGGTCACAACGTACTTGGAGGGACCCACGAAGGCCAAGAGACGGCTGTCCCCACTGACCACCAAAGCACCCGAACCGCTCCCAGCGTCCCGGGCCACCACATTGCCTGAGGGCCACAGCAAGAGAGAGAGTGAAGAGAGGAGCAAAGCCCACGCTGCAGCCAGCTCACTCTGTGATGGTGCTGCTGACCGGTAGCTGCAGCTTCTCCTGCCTCCAAATCAGCCTTGGGTTAACGTTCTGGCCTGAGGAAGAAGCAACGTCTGGTGTAGAAGACACTACAAATTTTATCTGCAGCACCCAAAGCATGCAGTGAACCACCTCAAGGGCAGGGTCTAGATGCATGGCTTGTTGCCTGACTGAACGTGCGGTGTTCTCAAGGAGAGCAGAACAAAGTCAAGGGAATAAAACTGATTTTAGTGTTTATTTTTTAACGTTACAAGAAGCTGTGACAAGGATCTGTGAATGCGAGATCTCTGCTGCAGCCTGGGTGTCTGAACCCTGCACAGAATGAAGTCAGTGCCGAACCCCACCACGCTGATGTCAGTCTGGTGGACAGATAGACCCGAAGGCCTAAAAATCACAGACATCAGAGCAATTCTCTGTATTCATTCCACTACCAGAATTCCACTGTTCTGTCCCTGGAACGCGGCCAGGCAGTGAACGCAATTTCAGAGCAGAGTCAATATGTAAAGGACCAGCTGCAGCACTGACACCAAACGTGGGTTATTTTGGACAAATTCCCTGATCTCTCCGAGCCCCTGTTCCTTCTCCACCTACTTCCACTGCACGCTTCTTGGGGCAGGATCCTCCTCTTCGTACAATATTGCATAACGGAGCTCCCTTTCCCTGCCCAAGCTTGTGCTGCCACAGCTCGTTTCAAAAGCGTACATTAAATATGACATTAATGTTTCCAAACTGCCTTGCCCCTGCACTGCTTCCCCTGCCCGCAGCTCTCCACCTTCTCCGCTCACCAGCACGGCTCTTTGCGCAGCTTGTGCTGCAGGCAGGATTAGGGAAGCGATCCAGTTTAAACAAATTAAACTGCACATCCACGAAATGGAAAGAGTCAGGGCTTGGGCATCAATAGGTAGGAAGACTCTACGCTTGTGTTGCTTCTAGGCAATGCACTGTTGAACCCAGACCTGAAAGGGCAGGTCTCTGCGATTCCAGCCCATTCACAAAATCGTAACGCCAAGCAAGCTGAGAGCGTTTGAACCAGGACGGGTAGGGAAGGGTTGGCAGTCATTAGGGTTTGCTCACACATACGGTATAAACACAAATGACACAGCTCAGAAGGTACATCAGAAAATACCTCTCTGAGTAGGCTGAGTCTGGTTTGGCTTTGGTGCTAGGATGTCTGTGCTACCAAAAAAGAAGAAAGGCAACTCAGAACCCCAAAGTCTTACCCAGGACTCTCAGGACGTGGCTTTTCTGCGCCATACAGCTGTAAAGAGCCAGAGTTCCCTGCAAACAGGAGCTGAACATGAAATTGCCATCTGGAGAGAAGGTCAGTCCAGTGATCACAGTGCGGTGCTGCCTGAAAGGAGGCAGAAAACACGAAAAAGGGGAGGAGAACAAACAAGCAAAACCCCAGAAAACAGTAGCAACATGAAGAATCCAGGGGAGCAAAATAATCAGGGGCAGGCAGAGGACCCCACCATGCTCACGCCTGCAGGAGCCCAGGACAATCGACACTCCAACTTTTTGGAAAACCGAGCAGCAAGCGCAGCACTCCAGCTGTCCCGGGACGGGACGTGCTCCCTCTCCCTTTGGAGCATCCTCCACTTCCCGTGCCGAGGCTCGCAAGGGCTCCCTGTTCAGCTGCTCTCTAGGACAAGCCTTTTCCTACTGTTGGCCACTGGGAAGTCATAAAGAAAGCCCTCATAGCCTTCGCACGCTGGACTTTAACCACCCCACCCAGAGCCTTGGCACAGCAGACTATCTCTGCCTGAAAACCACTCGGCTGGGACCCTGAGGGTTGTCAAGCTCAAGAAAAGCACTTTTCCCACCTCCACGATTATCGCTGTGCCTCTTGCCAGGGCACGCACAGTTAGACCCGTACCTGCCCCAGTGCAGCCCCCGCTGCAAGTGCTTACTTGTGCTCCACCAGCAGATCGGAGGCAGCCAAGCTGAAGGTCCGCACCATCCCGCTGTCAAAGCCACAGGCCAGGATCTGCTGGGTAGGGTGAAAGGCCACAGCACACGGCGTTTCCTCTGCAGCTGTGAAGTCGTACAGCTGCGGGGAAGAGACACACCGCAGGCACAAAGCTGGATACAGCTGTACCTGGCAGCCGTACCTAACGCCGCAACAGCCTCAGACCTCCACCGTGAGTGTGTCCCACAACAGAAATCTCATCCTGCCTGGATGGATCTAAGGCCCAGTGAAGTCCTGGGCCTTTAGGCATTTAAATAAAGCCCTGGGGTATTAGGTTTTGTGTTAAAAAGCAATATTCAAGAGATGGAGGAAAAGAAAATATTTTTTGTTTAACAATACCTTCAGAAGCTAAGGCCAAATTATGCGTTAAGCTAAAGCTCTCAGAACTCCATACTCCAGAAGGATTTCTTGCCTGTGGTACCCCCCCATGCTTCAGGGAGGACGTTTAAGGGCTCTTGAACTGTGGAGCTTTGATAACCAAACAGTTAACAGATAACTAGACTGAAGAGAGACTAGGCAGACTATTAATAAATGCGAGACACCTACTGACTCTCGTCTCACCTACCTGCTGCATGGAGACGAGGTCCCAGACTCGGATGGTATTGTCCTGAGACACTGTTGCCATCTGCTTCCAAATCCCCTCCACCGAGAACGCCAAAACGGAGTCCTCGTGAGAGCGCATGAGGGTGTTATAGTTCCGTGACTGGATATCCAGGTAGCCCAGATTGCCAGCAGCGGTCGTGCACAAGACTTTGCGGCTGTCCGGGCTGATGCAGACAGAACTCACCGGAGCCTCATGCTCTGGGGAAAGACGCAGGAGTCAGCGAACCCCCCGGAAAAGGAGCAGCAGCAGCTGGAGCGCAGCCACAGAACCAGATTCGCATTTAGGAAAGTAATGCACGCAGGAATGAGCATCCCACATGACCTCAGGATTGAACACTTGCAGGTTTGAGTCTAGTGACAAATTAGTCTCTGCCCTTTCTAGAAGTCCCCGGGCTCTGCTGTTAACGGTGGCTGTTTCAAAAAGAGTGAAGAACTGCTCAACTTCTCCCCTAATTTTTCACGGACAGAAGAGCCATGGGTACAAGGGCACAGAAATGAAGACTGAGTGCCTGCTCTCACCCAGGAGATCCTGCCTTTCTCCTACGAGTTACAAGAATGAACATGAATAATTGTTGTTGAAGTAAAAGACTTCCAAGCCAGCCACCCCTAGAGACAGCAGGCATAAAAGATGCCCTCGTTCACGAGAATTGCTTTAGGAGACACGGCAGCGGAGCTTTGGCTTCACAGCAGCAGCCTGATGGAGATGTGGAGCTCCGAAGCAGCAGCCCCAGCTCTAATCACCCGCCTCTAAGACAACGGCTGAGAAGTCCAGTGGCCACAGCCGCAGGTAGCCATCTTCTGAACCCGTGGCACAGAAGGTGGAGGAGATGCTAATACTGTTTATAGCGATCCCAGGGCCTGAAAACCCAAAAAACAACACGACCTTGTACACTTGAAACAAGAAAACTCAAACTGAGGGTTGCCCCATCCAAGAGCTGAGTCCGATGGTCCACCCGCACCAGCGGCTGAAGCCTCAGAAGAAGCAGCCAGCAGTCCCACGGTGATGGACAGTATAGGCTGAGGAGCCTCAGCCTCTTCTTGGGACTCAAAACATGTTCGGTCCCCTTCCCTTTCCAGCGCTCCTCTTTACCGTCGTGCAAGTCTTGCCAGGCACAGAAAATTCTTACCACTTGTTAAACCCTGCCATACTTTTGCCTCGAACAGGATCTTATGGCAAGGGATGTCCTAGATTAACTGCCTGAGATACAAACCCCTTTCATTTCCGTGTCTCAAATCCTCTCTGCAGCGTAGCGAGAAGGGAGAGAGAATACAGATCTACAGGAACTGGGATTTTTTGATTCAGGTATAAAGTCCTTTGGTCAAAGCACTGGCACGAGCCAGCGCTGCTACCAGGAGGACACCCAAGGACATCGTTTCATCTCCTCTTGGGCGTCTTCTTGCCCGTGAAGTGAGAACCAGAGTTACCTACCTCTCAAGGGGGCATGCTCTAGGTTAATTAGCTCAATTTGCCAAAGCAAACCATACGCTAAGTTTTAAGATATCAGAGCAATCGCACTTGAAAGTGAATTCTTCCCGCTGTTAAAATTAATGGAAGAGCTGAAAGCTGTACTACTTAGTATACAGCAACAAAGATTTCCCAAACACTCTGCACAGGCTGAATAATGAAAAATTCCCCAAATTCATCTTTTTTGTTGGTCGGCTTAGCTCTTTTTCCATCTCTACATTAAGATTCCCATCAGCAAATTAAGACCTTGTTTCATGTTTCTAAAAGTAGTGTTTCGCTGAAAGTGCAATCAGCATTTAAAACGCTAAAATTCTTTCTTAAAGTGATACTTTGCTGTACTAAGGGAGATTATTTGCAGTACTTAAGAGGCAAATAGCTAGCAATGATCTAATCAACCCAAAATAATCCTTAGCAGTAGGTAAATAGCTGGTTTATTTTACCAGAGATTTGTTTGAATTCGTTTCTGACCCCGATGGTGGTTGAGGTGCTCCCTGGCTGGTCCCCTCCTCCCTGCCTGCAGATACTCCTACCTGCGCCGCCGCCTGCCTTGTCCTGCCGCTGGCAGCCCCGGGGCTGTGCGGGCAGGAGCCGCCGCGCGCTCCTCATGCAGACGTTCTTGTAGTCCACCTCCAAGACGTGGCCGCTCTTGCTGCAGACAAAGCTGTAAAGGAGAGAGACCCCTGCTCTGGCACCCCAGGGTCAAGAGGAGCTGCGCCAGCGTGGGTTAGTAAAAACCCAGCTTGGTTTACCCGTTCAACTGTTTGCCCGATGGAAAGCAGTTCTGGTTCACAGTAACCTAACAGGTCAACGAGGTGTCCAAGGGCACCCTTCCATGCGCTACGCTACCCTACGAATCTACAACCAACTCAGAGCTTCCTATTTTATTTCTTGTCCCTTTGAAACATTAATTAGCAAAAGAGCTAAAAGCTCGGCATAGACCTCAGAAAGAAACCTCTCTCTGCCGCAGGACACAGCCCGGGGGAAGGCAGGGCCAGCTGAGCCGACAGCTCTGCCTCTATGGAGCAGTAAGCGGTAGCAACAAAGGTCTGGCTTTGATGAATAAAATAAAACAATAACAAAAAAAAAGCGTGTATCTGGCTATATGCAAGAGGATATGTACCACACCCCTCCCGCTGCCAACAGAAAGCCAACCGCAAGCCTCAGGTGGGGGAAGAGATTCACTAAATATGGCAAAACATCAGTATGGCAAGAGGAAAGACCCATTTCTTGAGCTATTCTGCAAGCAGTCAAATCTCTTTTGGGAAGCAAAGTGTGCCGAGGAGGGGAGAGGCTCTCCCAGCTCCAGGAGACACCTGTATTGTGCAGGGAAAACCCAAGCAAAATGCCGTGCTCACGCAGAGGAAGGGGAAGGAGGATGCTAAAGACAGCCGAGAGCCGTCGAGCTCCCTCCCGGCAGGCTGCCCCGAGGACGGGTGCCGGTGGAACCCAGCAGCCCCTTACAGCGTGCGGTCCTCCGGCTCCCGCTCGGCCGCGTGCCCCTCCTCGAAGGCCAGGTCGGTGAACTCCAGGGAATGGTACTCGCCCAGGTTGACGGGACACGAGCGCAGCGCTCCGCTCCGCACTCGCCACAGCCTGACGTTGTCCCGGCCGCACGACACCATCCTGTCCCGGGAAAGACCGCGTGAGGACCAGGGCAGGACTCTCCAAGCCCCCGGTGAAAGGTCAGCGCCCCAGGGGCCACCGGCTGACAGTGAGCACCGAGAACAGGAATGGCAGCCGGACGGCTGCAGCACCACGGTTTCCCCCCGCAGCTGTGCCACAACCAACGCTTTTGATTTTTTTTTTCTTTTTTCTTTTTTTTTTTTGCACGCTACCTGGTGTCATCAAAAAAAGCAATCTTCAAGGCCTGGATGTCCACATCTGTGTGCGCTTTGGCCAGCACGGCCACCTCTCCGCCACGGGTCACCTGAGCAGCATTCCACACCACCACCACCTGAAGCAAGAAGACACGCTGGCAGAGCTGCCCAAACGTGGAAAGCTGGGCAGCAAAAGAGCTTTTCGTCACAGCAGCTGACCCGCTGCACGTGCGGGAGCCTGCTCCGGGGCTGGGCACAAAGGATCGATAACAGAATTGAAGCAGGGGAAAAAAAAAAAAAAATTCTCTCGCACAGAGGGTTTAGGACAGTCCAACAGCTTTGCAAAGCTTCATGGCAATGTACTGGTCTGGCATCCATAATTATAGGTTCTAAATCCCAGGGCTGCCTGGCAACAGGGCTCAGACTTGGAAAGAAAATCCGCAGAGGAGTGGGAACTCTGCCTGCTGAGATGCGAGAGCGGTACCAGGGCTGAGCCGGTCCGCGAGAGCTGAAGGTAGCACGTGTCCGGCTGCGCTGGCTCTCGCAGCACTTTGCTCCGATGCAGGTTTGCATGCTCGCGGTGCCCATCACGAGGGGCAAGAGAGCCCAACCCTTTCCCCAAAGGAAAGGAGGAGATGGGCGAAGAAATGCAGGTGATTCGACGCTCTGCATTTCAGAACAGTGTTAAAAACAGACCCGGCATCACCTCGGAGGCTGGGCTGGGCTGAGGCATCACGCTGGGAGAGGTGCTCCTGGCCAGGCCCCCAGCACTCCCCGTTCTCCCATCCTGCTTTCGCCCTATTGATCCCCCCTCCCCGGTTTCAGCTCGCCAGCTCCCACCCGGATCACGGACCGCTGCTGTGTGCCAGGAAAAAAAAAAAAACAAACCAAACAAAGCGCTGTTTGTTTTTTTCCTGCAGGCAGTATGCAGTTAGCGATGGCACAGCTAATTGCTGGTGGTTGTCAATAAGGGATCAGCGGATGAAAACAGTTCCACTGATAAAAGCAAAACCCCCAGTCCCGTGAAACAATTTTATTTTTGACTGCTACACGTGGGATCTGCGTCATTCCCTAGCTACATCGGTGGGTGGCAGCTTCAGTGCCCAGCATCCCTTCCAGCAGCAATGCCTGTGATGCTCAGAACTGAAAGATTAAACCTCGCATCTTGCCCTAAATGCTATTAAAAAAGGTTTTTTGGGGCTCTAGTCAGTGCTGAACCTCCCATTTCAAGTGCCATTCCTCCACCACGCGCTTGCAAGCCTTCCAGCTCGAAATATCACACAAACACGTGTCGCCCTCAGCCCGGTGGGCCAGAACGGCCGCGGAGGCGGGCAGCAACGCTGCGCGTGAGCCTGCGGCGATCCCCGCAGGGTGTGGGCAGGATCACACAGCTGCCTTCATCACCCCGGCTGGGCTCCTAGCTGGGACCACACCAGGGACAGAAACAGCCCCAAAGCTCAACCCGAGCAGGTCTCTCGGGCTGCTTCCGGAAGGATTTATTTGCTTGCAGGGGAGGATCGTGCATGCGAACACTCGCAAGCATCAGGTAGAAGGGAAGGATTTTCTAAGCAGCTAATGAGAAAGAGATCTCCCTCTGACTACAGTGAAGAACATGTCTAGGAAAGCCCAGAGCAGAGGTTTGTCTGCGAAATAACTGCGTAATCTGGGAGAAAAGCCACCTCATGTCGCTTGTTCGCAGGGCGGGGAAACCTCCAAACCCAAGTTTCAGTCCTCACCGTTTTGCCGTGCCCGTCCTTTCCGACGCCACACAGCACGGCTCCGCTGTAGGAGAAGCTGCAAGAAGAGGCCGCCTGGTGAAATGCAGCTCCTTGTACCCCGAGTGCATCCCAGTGGGGAATAAAAGGAGACAAGTTCAGGGTATGGGGAGACAGCAAGACCTGCGGGATAAGCTCAGGAGGGAGCTGGCAGCGTTATCAGCTGTTCCGGGCCAGCTGCCAGCAGGTCTCGGTGATAAACACAGGCAGCTGAAGGAGAACTGTAATTCACCCCTGGTTTATCACGCAGGAACAGCACAGAAAAGCCGCCGTGCTGCAACGCTTGGCCCACCTGAACGCATCCCTGCGCCCAGGCTGAAACCCACCTCAGGGACAAGAGGGAGCGGACGTGGGTTTTAAACACCGAGAGGCAGCTGCCCGTCGGGAAGTCCCAGAGGCGCACCACGCTCGGGGGACCGGCCTGCGCGGAAGCCAGCAAGGTGCTGTTCCCGTTGAAGGCCAGCGCCGACACCTGCGGGAAGCACCAGGTTAGAGGCTTTCGAGGAGAGCTGGGACCGGGGCTACACCTGGGGTACAAGGACAGCGTTGCTGTACGGCTGTGTAAAGAGAGTTACGCTCACCTTATCCGTGTGTCCAATGAAGAACCTCTGCTCTCCGGTCTGGACCTGCAGGGTCAGAATAACAGCGTGGCAGGGGTAGACCACCGCAGCGTTGTTCCGAGTCCACAGCGCCTGCAGGACCGAGGCAGGAATGAGAGGGCTGCAGATCCTCCGGAGGTGCCCCAGGTCCGAGGCTGGACCCACAGAGATTTCTCCGACAGGAGATCTGCTGCGCGTGTGCAGGTGAGAGGATGCTCTTCCGTACAAGGACTCTTCTAACTCGCGAAGGAAAACTAAGGGCCCAGCCGACATCCTACTTAATTCAGTGGATTTACCGTACCAATCATCTCTACTACATGAACAGCAGATACAAGGAAAAAATCACGTCGTTGGCAGAGCCTTGAACTGGCTGAACCAAAACGACCCTTTCTTTACCCTAACGCAGACCGCAAGCCAGGCTCCTGCAAGGCACAGTGCCCCATGGAAACAATCCCAAACACAGCCCTTCCTTTCCAGGCTCCCACAAAGCAGCTCTAATTTTAACGTGTTAAAATGCAGAAGCCACGAGATCTAAGAGGCCCCCATAATTTCTAATTCACCATCGTAACAGCAGAAGACCCAAGCACAAGCATAACCTCGTGCCCATCTGCTTTGGGGACATTTTCCCCATCAAAAAAATGCAGGAAGGGTGGCACTCAGCTGCCTTTCATTCCTCCAAAAAAAATCAAATCTGTGATTACACGTGAACTCCCCAAACCGTCCGAGCTACTGACCCGCTTGGTGCTGCAGCCTCCGAAGCCAATAATCATTCTCAGCTTCAGGATGGGATCTGGTAAGAGCCTCTGGAAAAAAAAAAACAACCCACAACAGCACTGTCACACTTAGAGCCAGACTGGGGTCCTCCGCCCCCGGGGCCCCTCCGTCCCCATTGCTCCTTTCTCCCTAAAGCACAGAGGCAGCTTTGGGTCCTCTCCTGTTAGAGGAGATGGCTTTAAAGTATTTAACTTGGCAGAAATCAAATCTGGGAGGAAGGAGGAGCTGGGATTTCGCCGGCGTTAAGCAGCTCTCCCACCCACGCTGGGGGGGTTACGGCCAGCCCTTCCCAGCGCCCTGGCGATGCCCAGAGAGCCGGTGGCTGCTGCTGCGGGAAGGGCTCGTCCTCTTACCCTGCAGGCAGAGGCTCTCCTGCCGGACGGCACGCCTGGGCCAGGGCCCTTCCTGTGCACGCTCTGGGCAAATTAGTAAACATACATTATTGGCTTAAGGTCAGTGCGTTCGAACACAGGGTCCCCCTTTCAAGGCAAGCATGATTCTAGTGGAAAGGAGAACCGCTAGTCAGAAAAACTAACGCCAGCAAAAGGACTCCATAGGATTAACCGAAACTCCAGCCTGGAGCTTGCGTTCCCTCTGCTGCTTCTGCCGGGCTCACAAACGTCAGCCATAAGCGTCCCAAAGCCACCTTTGGGCTGCTGCGACTCCTCAGCACTTCACCCACCTCCTCTGAGCCGCTGCGGGTGGCGCGGGTGGTTCGTTCGCTCCTCTGGTGAGCGTACACGTGGATGCCACCATCGCTGACTGACGGCGACTGCCCAGCGTCCCCCGCACTGTGCGGTCTCTGGTTCTTCTCTAGCTCCTGGTCCGCAGCAGGCACGGCTCTTGGAGGCCCTGGGGTTGTCAGGTGAACCTCAGGGATGCTTTTCGTAATTACAGGACACCGACGCGGCATCTGAGAAAGAGCAAAGCCTCAGACAGAGATCAGCCCTCCTCCTAGCGCCTTCCACCCACCGCAAAGGCAGAGACAGGGAGACACCCACATCTCTCCCGAGTGACTCTTCACAGCGACACAAACAAGGACGGAGCAACATGGAGGGAGAGCATCCCTGTCGGTACGTGGGTTAATGCCAGGTACGTGAACCAGCCACTCTCCCTACGCTCCCAGTGTTGTCTCACCTCCTGCAGACAACAAACCAGAGCCCCAGCAGAGACCCAGCCCTGAACGGTGTCTGGAAGAGCTGCCCTCTCTCCACTGAGCAGAGGAGGCTAAAAGCGCCTGGCCAGCCAGCTCGGCGCATCCCAGTTCAGAACAGCAAAGCGGTCGCGCTCCTCCTTTTCTCCCTCTCCGCAGCATGAGGACGACGGCTTCCCCCAGTCCCTCTCCAAAAGCCCATCACCGCGCTGTCTGGTAAGCCTGTCTGAGCACCAGCTCCTGCGTCACCGCCAGCAGGGAAGGGGAACTCAGCGGTGAGGGCAGCTGCCCGCAGTCCCAGCAATCCGGACTCCACACGCTGCTCTGCTCCCTGAGGGCACCCAATCAAGTTCTTTAGTCTCCAGTCCTCATTTCCTAGCTATAATTTGAAGACACAACTATCTGCTGCCTCAGCTGAGACAGGAAGGATAGATGTCTGGAGATTACGAGGTACTTGGCATTTATCTCGTCTCTGCTCTGTGCTATGCCAGACTGAACCACCCAGTCATTAACTGCGGGGCTGCGGTCAACAGACCATGCCCAGATCAGGGGCCTGACCTGCCCGGAGCAGCTGCGAACGACGACAAGCAGCTTCTACGTCCTAAATAAAGGAACTCAAAGACAAGACGCGGGGAGAAACTCCGCGGGAGGCAGAAAGGAAGAAGCTGCAGCCTCCTCCACGGTGCACTTACAGCTTTGGGACTGGTTATCTGATGGACGAGGGACAGTCGGTCGCGGACTGCTTTGGTGAGCGTCACCGGCTGGGGCAGCTGCTGGACGGGGTCCTCCGAGACTTGGCCACCTGGGTGACAGGAGGAGCGGGCTGGGCTCTTTCAGAAACCCGAGGCGTCCACCCGGGGCGGCACTGCCTCGGCTGCTGTCCCCAGCCTTCCCACCTGCCGCAGGGCCGAGACAGCTCTTCTGGATGGAGTCGTACGGCAGCTTGGACCCCTCGGATGGGAACCTGAGCAAAACCAGAGGAAGGCGCCGTGTGATCGGGATGCTGCACAGGCACCCGGGAATCTCACGTGGTAACTTACTGCCTGGCACAAAAGCCTCTTCGCTGTCTCCTATAAGATCCCCCCTTTTGCCCCCTCCTCCCCCAAATACAGGGATACTAAAGCATCTCCCAGGTCTGATCTACGCCGTTACTTTCCAGGGGTTAGCTCGGTGCTGCGCGCTTCAGGCAACGCCGCTAAGCCGATGACTGCGATGAGCTGCAACTTAGGACCGACAAGAGTTCTCTGGCAAAAACCTCACCGCCGATGGGAGCCCAGCACCGAAGCCGAGGAAGGTACGCTTACGTCTGCCCCCCGGCGAGGCGTTACGGCCGATCACAGCTCAGGGGCGCCTGTCAGACTATCCTTTAACTTAGCAAGGGGCTGAGGCGCTCCCCAGGAACAGCACGGAGAGAAGAAAGGCTTGCATTACGCTAAGTTAGCCACGGGAGCAATCCCAGCAAGAGGCGGTTGAGAGAGAGGACTGGCGTTAACGCCAGGCACGGGAGTGCTCTAACAGCCTTTTTCCTGCCCCAGAACATCACCGATCAGCAGTTAAGCTTAGGCCAGGGTAGGTGTGTTAACGACACCTAAATGCTGGACCTGGGGTGACCAAAATGTCTCCACTCGAGCCCCCGGTTTGTCCAGATCTGCCATTCCTTAAGCGGCGTTCCCCGTCCTGC